CTTAAGGAAGAGGAGAAGAAGAAGGCAATATTGTTGTTATACACATGGAGAGATGCCTTTGCGAATGCATTGAAAGATATGCCGGTGACGGACTTAGTGGAGCACCAGATTCCGGTTTGGCCTGGAGCCCAACCAAGACGCGCGAAAGACAAAGTTTATACAAAAGAGGAGCGGGATTGGCTGGAGTTGAATATACCGCAGTTGGAGAAGGCTGGGATCATTGGGCGTTCCGAGTCCCCATGGTCACACCGGACAAAATTTGTGAGAAAAAAGGACGGTGGACTTCGAATGGTACATGTTTTCTGTCCGATCAATGCCGCTACGATGGTTTCGAGTTACCCAATGAAGCGAATTGAACCTGTCATCAATAATTTGATGCAAGTACGGTATACTATCTACTTTCAGGCTGATGCAGCAAATGGGTTTTGGGCGGTACGGATGAATCCTACCCATGCCTATCGCACAGCATTCTCGACCGACAACGGCCAATGGCAATATCTAAGGATGGGACAAGGCCTCGCTGGGGCACCCTTGACGTACGCACGCCTGAAGGATCTTTTTAGCAGTGCAATCCCAGCACCACATCCAGAGCCATGTTTAAACAGGTGCTCCGAGGGAGCATTTGAGTGTTTCGTAGATGACGATTTTGGTGCCCACTCGAGCTTTGCCTCCTTGTTCGACTTTCTACACGATCACTATTTCCCTCGCCTTCTCTGGGCCCAGATCACACTCAAAGATAGCAAATCAGGCTTTTTCCTGAACAAGATCAGTCCACTTGGATACGCAAGTGACGGAAGTGGTCTCCGGCCGTCATTAGACAAAGTTAAAGCTATTCGAGAGTACCCCCGACTGACGAATCTCGCCGAGATCGAAGCATTCCTCTACATGACGATTTTTCTACGTCAATTCATTCCCGGATGGGTAGAGCACGCGAGGGTATTGAAAAATGCGGTACAATATAAGGTTGAGGTTGACGGTTCGAGTCGATCTACTATACGATTAAGCAAGCGGGGATGCCCACACAAGGCTGAATGTGGAATGAATTAGGGCCCGGAGCAGGAGACCGCATTCCGCGCGATTAAGGAAGCGATCCTTAAGAATGTGGTATACGGTGGTGATGAAACTCGGCAATACCATTTGATGACCGACGCATCCTCACATGCAATGGGGGGAGTCCTTTTTCAGCTACCCAATTTCGAGGCCGGGACGAACATATCGCCGATGACGAGGAAGGACATGAGAGTGATTATGTTCATCTCAAAAAGACTGTTACCGGCAGAAACTCGGTACTCGACGACAGAGCGGGAAGCCTTAGCTATCTTGAGATGCCTGGAAGAAGTACGTTGGCTGGTGTTGGGCTCGCCGTTCCCCACTAAGGTATACACCGATCACCATGCATTATTAGGGCTACTCCGCAAAGACGATGCACATGGGCGGATCGTTCGTTGGCAGATTCGGTTGGTGGAATACGACGTCGAGTATATCAATATCCCGGGAAAGGAAAATGTTATAGCGGATGGGCTAAGCCGAATGAGAGAGGATGCGGGGGAGAGTAGATATGCAGCGGTTGAAGGAGGATCTTGCGAAGTGAGTGCAGTAGAGAAGGAGGAGACGGAGAAGGAATGGAGTGAGTGGCTTGCAGATGAGTGGTACGGGGATGTTACCTATTTTAAACTGTTCGGCGATTTGGAAGGATTTCGGGATGAAAATGGGGAGCCATTAACCCTACAGAAGAGACGTCTCGTCCGGCAGAAATCCAAGATGTATCGCCTGCTCGCTCTGAATACAGCACCAGCTCAGGCAAAAGAACTGAAGGGCCTTGCAGCGAGGCTACCAAACCGGCTCATCTATGTGGAAAGAAATGGGAAAGAGGCAGTCTGCGTTCGGCAGACACAAGTTTCGGCGGTTCTACACTACCTCCATGACTGTCATGGACATTTTGCACCGGGTGTCCTACTCCGTACGCTTATCGGGCGGTACTACTGGCCGACCAGGAGGAAGGATATACAAATTTACTGCGCAACGTGTCCCAGCTGCCAATTAATCGGGCCGTTAAGACCTTCTGTGAGTCAGATGACGATCGTACACCTCCAACCCTTAGACATGATGGGTTTCGATTTTGTTGGACCGTTCCCTGAAACTCCTCGAGGAAACAAGTATATTGTGATTGGAGTTGACTACTTCACCCGGTTCATGTTTGCACAAGCATCGCCGGACAGTCAAGGCAAATCAGCTGTTGTACTCCTCATGAGAGTAGTCAAAACCTTTGGGTGGCCAAGAGCAGTATACACTGATAATGGTACTCACTTCGTATCGGGTGAGTTTGCAAGAGTGCTGCAAGGTCACCACGTCGTTCATCTACCTGCACCAAAATGTCACCCACAGTCTGTTGGCCTGGCAGAAAGATACGTTCGTCTGTTGGTGGAAGGTTTGAAGGTCACCCTTATAGCAAGCAAGGGTGCTTCAACGGATTGGGACCTCTATGTTGACCCAGTCATCCATTCTATCAATACCAGAGTCCTGCGAGTTCACGGATTCAGCCCTGCGGAACTATTACTCGGATACAATCCGAACAGAATCGGTTGGGACACTACATCTAATATGGAGCGGGCTGTCTCTGTTATTCTCAGCGCGGTGCCTGAGAACCTGGATTTGTGGAACGGAGACCAGATCCTGGCCAATAGACAGCTTGAGCGCCTGACAAGAATCGATGAACTGCGTACAGAGGCAGCGGAGAAGGTCGTTCAGCAAGCAGACCAAAAGATGAAGGCCCAGAAGGACCCTCGATTTTTACCACCTTCCGCAGGTGACTTGGTTTTACTTCGGCGGTTCATTTTGGACCAGCGTCGTGGAAGTAAGCTAGAACCCCGGTGGGAGGGACCTTACCTACTCGGAGACTTAGCCTGGCATGGCAAGAGTGGCCGACTCTACGATATCAATACTCGGGAGCTGGTTCGAGTAAAGAAGAGCGGCTTGAAGGATCGGGTTCATCTCAATGATATAAAACTATATCTGAAGCGGTCGGCAGAGGAGGTAGACCTAGTGGATTTACTTGAGTACGGAGGAGAAGATGGAAGGCCACCGTGGGTGGAAGAGGATAGGCTTAGCAGGGAAGGGGTAAAGGCAGGAGGAGACAGCGATAGGAAATTGAAGGTACACTGGTGGGATAAGGCTAAAGAGCTTGGATAAGGGAAAGAGATAGAATGCGGGAGTGTCATGAGGCGGTTACTTGGCGATTCAGTTAGCTAGCTTGAGAAGGGTTGTTTATGGGGGATACGATAGTAGGACAGTATAGTTAGCTGCCTTCGGGGGCAAAGGCTTGAGGAGGGAGAGCCCTTGTAGGGGGCGGTGGTAGTATAGGATAGTTTGGCAGTCACAGGAGGAGGTTTGCACGCACAATGGTTGCACAGTAGTAGATAGCTTGGCACGCACAACTTTCAGTATTGGGGAGAGGACTTTCATGTTTGCGCGGTAGATAGAGAAAACAACCTTCCTCACGGCTCTCAATTCAATCACCAGTCCTCACCTAGGAGGTTGGTCCTTTTCCTTGGTTCTCTTTCTGCTTATCCGCCCTATTATCTTTTATCTACCCAGAGCCAAGTCTACCTGCTCAATCTCCGGTAATAGCAAGTAGAGTTCCGGTCGTCTTTCTCTTCACGGGCGTGCATGGTCAACACACCATCCATCTAAGGGGAAGGTAACGGGACATCCCCAACACCGGTAATAACGTAATCCCCACGGCGGGGGTTGTTGCCAAGGAAGGAAGGGAGGATGGTCTCGTGGGGTTTAACTTATATCGCTACATCATCATCGACTACCCATATGATAGATGTACGACAGGGCGGGAGTTGATGGGGTACGGTACGGTACTACACTGTACTCGAGTACCGCACCGCACCGTACCCGAGGTATCAGGAGAACTTTGCGGATCGCGAGTGTACGAGTAGAGTACGGCACGGTACTTGAGCCGCCGTACGTACATAGAATACACACATGCCTTTTTGCCGGTGATGATGCGAAGCTTGGCGCCGGGTCTCGTCCGTCCGTCCGTCCGTGTTGGAAAAGCAGCGTATTGTACTTGTATTGTATCTGTAACTTAACCTGTATTTCACACTTCGGTATCATACCGGTAGTTTTGTCATCACGGCGGGTCTACCGACTCCGCACCGCACCGGGGTACATGCTGGTGGTATCATGCTTTTTTACAGTAGAATCCTATCCGGTTTCGGTTCTTGGGAATGGTTTTGGGCACATACAAGTATTGGATTTTGTAATTAGGGCTGTTCAAGTTATATATAACTGATCGGTGTGTACGGTATGATACAGTGAGTAGCTATGGTTTTCGACGGAAAATTGTAACGATATGGTACGGTGGTTTGCTGCCATTCACCGGTTATCGTGGGATGGACGGATGTAAGCTGCGGGTACGAATACCTGATTGGATTGGAAAGAACGGATGGACGGATGGGTTGGTTGGTTGGTTGTCGTGGCTGGGAGTTCCCAACGCACGAATCGTAGTTTTGCAACTGTGATACCTAATATCGTGATAGGATGTGATAGAATAGGAACCTATCGTAAGCTTGATTGCGGTTGATTTTGATATTTTATTATCGTAACTATATCATGTCATATATGCTCACTCGTAATACCGGTTCGGAACCTCTGAAAGGTACAGTACTAGTACCCGTATCATACTCCGATGGCGAACACTTTTCTCCCCCGAACCTTGACACGCTCCCAGATTATGGATACACCCATCTGGCCGGAACGTTTTCTGTCGATGGGAATAACCGCGGTTGGATGGTTACCGTAGGGTTTTGGAAGCTCTCTTTCTTCCGCACGGTGGAAGTGTTGTTCCGTCGTGAATGGGCGTGGTTCAATCATATGTCGCCAGTATGATACTCAGAGCACGGTGGGTGTGCCGTACCGTAAAAACTCTTGGAATCCACTTACCGTATGATATCTCCGTATGATAGTGGGTGCTGATCTGTCTCACTCTTTTTTCCGGAGCTTTTGACTTGGAAGCTGGAGACTACGTTAATTTACAGGGCGGGTGGAGATACAGTACCGGTAGTGGATTTCAAGAGTTTTTTTTTTACGGTACGTGGTGGAGGTCTTGTTACGGGGTTGTTTGTCTTGGTATTTGGGCATGGGTTGGGGCAAGGACCTTGGATAGCATATAGACTATTGGGAGAAAAGAGAGAGAGGTGTAGGTTTGTCCCCCTTATCCACAAGCGTGATCGACTTGCCAGTTATGAAAGCAGCCTAACTTTTAGGCCTCTAATCGTCTTATCAGCTATACCGGTATGGTACTGTGCTGTACTGTACCGCGGAATCTACAGAAAACTTGTGCTGTGGGCATGCATTTCAATGATGGTGTGGACAGGGATGGTGGGTTCGCCCTTCTCCCCTTCTCACCGTGGATGGCATTCAGGGCCTACACCTGATGCCGGTGCCGTACTGTATGATAGAACACTACCGTAGAGGGTTGAAGAAGCCTTTTTCCGGGTGTTATGTTTCATGTGGATCTGGCACGTTTGCATGTGGAAAATACGTTCGTCGAATGCTACTAGAGTCCCTCAGCTCGAAAGGCTTGTATCAACGTTCTCCAACCTCGGGGGATAATTTTCCTGGGCCCTTTCCCCCCACTTCCTTCCTTCCTTCCTTCCTTCCTTCCTTCCTTCTTCATAATTGCATTCAATTCCTCTCTCTCTGTTTGCATGTCTGCCCTTCATGAGCATATGCAATCATGGGTACATTGATGACAGCGGCATTCTAACGTAGATCCAACCACGACCTACAGGAGCAACGGAACCAAAAGCGGTACCGTTATCAACACTCAAAGACACCTGCAGGCTGACGCTGGGAGATTGAATACCGGTGTTGGTATTGGTAATGAGGTTGAATTTTTGTCTAAGTTAATTCTTTCGTTCGCTCCCTGCTTGCCTGCCTTCCTTCCCCAATTCTTCCTCTCTCTCCACCATTCTCTCTCTCATAGCCGGGTACGTGCAACTTGTCATTTCCTCCCATCGCTTTCAGCACGTTGCGTACTCAAGGCCCCAAATGGCAACCAATCTCGTGCGCCTACCAACCACCCGAACTACACATACTGGTGCCATAACTCCTTCATCCTTCATCACCGCGCCTACTGGCACGGAAGAGCGTGAGCGACCATGTAGGCGTATCAGCCTCTTCCGTGGCATGGCCAACGACGTGCGTAGGCGGTTGCCTTATTATAAATCGGATTGGACGGATGCATGGGATTATAGGATTGTGCCTAGTACTGGTTTGTCTTGTCTTCCGGGCAGTTGCTATTTAGTCCGGTTGGGAGTTGCCATGTGAATGAGTGAGTGGATGGCTGATGAACGGTACGATAGTTTATATGTTTTTTGCAAAGTATATGCTTTTTTATTTTCCTCCGTTGGTGGGTTTGGGAATGAGCGAGTGACCGGTTTGACTGATTTTTTTTTGGGGGGGGTGGAAGTGTGCTTCCGGCTTTGGCGTTTTCTTTGGATATGTAGGTTGTCCTTCTTTTGGGGGGTTGGTTGGGATGGAGGGAGAGAGGTGCTTAATGGATTGGGTGTAGGTTTGAAAAAACAAACATGTCCTATGGCGTCAATGAAGTTCTGCTCGCATCTGTGCTCGGTGCGGTAGTCTTCAGTTTCCTGGCTGCGCAGCCGTTATGTATTGTTGGCGTTACGGGGCCTATAACTGTGTTCAATTAGTAGGTTTCCCTTGCTCGCTCCCATTTTATCCAAGAATTGACTGATAGGAGAGTGTGCGAGCATTTTGAAGTACTGTATATGCTATCGTAACACCTAGGGGAATTCGGTATTTCCAGTTCATGTGCTGGATTTGTCTATGGTCCATGCTCATGCATTTTGCGCTTGCCATAACGAATGCTTGCAATGCTGTTAAATGGGTTACGAGGTTTTCCTGTGATATTTTTGGATTCTATGTCGCTTTCATATACTTGCAGAAGGGCATTCAGGTCCTTGCTCTGCAGTGGCGCGCAGGAGATGCAGCGGCACATCTATCAATTTCGATCTCGTTATTAGTCCTAATGTCCGGGTACGCTTGCTCCTGGCTCGGAAACAGCAACCTCTTCAGGCAACCCGTCAGAGTCTTCCTGAAGGACTATGGAACCCCGCTTGCAATCGTGTTCTTCACAGGTTACCAGTACTTTGGTAAAATGAAACATATAGACCTTGAAAGATTGCCAGTTTCACAGGCCTTCTTCCCCACCTCGGAACGTGGGTGGCTGGTGCATTTCTGGGATATCAGTGTTGGGCAGGTGTTTTTGGCTATCCCTTTTGCGCTGCTGTTGACGATTTTGTGAGTGATTGGATGTGTATACGGGCGTATGATCCCGGCTGGGCTGACCGTGATGGTCTATAGGTTCTATTTCGATCATAACGTCTCGAGCTTGATTTCGCAGGGCACGGAGTTTCCGTTGAAGAAGCCGGCGGGATTTCATTGGGATATTTTCTTGCTCGGGATCACGACGGGAATTTCGGGGATTCTGGGGATCCCAGCTCCTAAGTATACTATTCCCAATTCCCATATTAGTAAGGAAAGGCGTGCTAATAGGAGTGAAGTGGCCTTATACCTCAAGCCCCGTTCCATACTGCATCTCTGTGCGTCACCCGCCGGCTGTCGGAGGAGGCGGAGGAGGACAAGGGCAAGGCGGAAGCCATTATTGATCACGTTGTGGAGCAACGGGTTAGCAATCTTGCGCAGGGGCTTTTGATCTTGGGAGCTATGACAGGGCCCTTGCTAGCGATGCTTGCTCTGATTCCACAAGGTGTAGGTTGAGCATAACATATCATAACATAGAACACCTGCTCATCAATTGATATAGGTTCTTGCAGGACTCTTCTTCGTCATGGGCCTTCAAGCGCTCGAAGGCAACGGAATCACATTGAAACTGTTATTCTTGTTCAGGGATAGCTCCTTGGCTTCTGGCAGGGAGCCGATGAAGAGATGTAGGAAGGGAGCTGTCTGGGCCTTCGTGATACTCGAGCTTGTGGGATTTGGAGCTACGTTTGCTATCACGCAAACTATTGCTGCTATTGGGTATGTTCACCACACAATAACCGCTTATATCCAGAGCCTCATATTAATTGGCGTATCCAGTTTTCCGGTGTTCATATTCCTGCTAATTCCTGCCCGCGCCCTAATTATGCCCAAGTATTTCACCTCCGAAGAACTTGGGGTTCTGGATGCACCCACAGCTTCTCCGTTTACCCTTGAGTCTGTCAGTGGCAGTTATGGCGACGCACCCGGGCCTAGTGGTAATATCATACCCACCTAGGCCAGGAGTGATAGGCTCTCTGTTAATGACGGGAGAGTTATTGAGAGGGGCGATGTGGTCAAGTTGAGTAGGAGGAGGTCATCTGTGGTTAGACACAATATCAATAATAATAGTAAGAAAAGGGCCGGATAAAAGAGGTGGGCCTTTGGGGACACAACATAAACGGATTAAGAGGGAGTGGGTTTAGATGTATTAGATGGAGGGAGCTAGAAATTGATAACCTGTGCCCGTCGGGCTACATGATGTGCGATTCGGCGGACACTGTCACGATTTGGTTGTTTTCTTCGGGATTAAAGAGTTGTGATCTACCGGTATGCCTAAAACTTATTGCATGCAGGCTCTGTAGAATAGCAGGTTTTGTACGATGCCATCTCAATTAAATTGACTTGACAGGTGCGATTTTTATTGTGGTGGGGTTTGTTTTACTGGGCCATCCATTGTCTTGGCGAGCGATAAACAACCTGACATCGGTGGAGGGGGCAACACAAACGCAAGGCTCTTTCACAAGCTTTCCTTTTTTCGTCCAACATCAGCGAACCCCTCTTGCAGCTTTCACTTCGCAACACAACCATTGCTCTTGTCCAAAAGATTTTCAGCATTCACGCCCGCTTCTTCACACTATCATCGTTAAGAGAAATAATTCTCCATCTTTCGAACGACCACCTATACCTCCCTTTTCTCCCACTTCTTGACCTTCTCTACGCAATATGGGTGAATCAAGGTAGGGGTGCCCCACGTGTGGGAAGACAACTATTCATACCAAGCAAACTATCACCATTGCCTCAATCACTGTGCTAACGTCGCTCTAGGCAGGAACTTCTCAACTGGTTAAACGGCCTCTTGCAGCTTAACATTACACGTGTAGAGCAATGTGGAACCGGGTATGTCACAGATGAGCAACATCAATTCTCTCACCCCCCCCCTTTTGTGTGTGAAAAGGAAGCTCGTTCCCTGCTTCGGGAAACTGTTTTGACTGACAACGATAATTCTTGAACAGTGCTGCGCTATGCCAGGTTTTTGACTCCATCTCCGGTCAGTAGCGAGTCCTATTTCCCCCCTCCTCTGCTTGATGGGGAAGGGGGTTGTGTGAAAAACATGGAGTTGTAGCTTACTTCTTGTCTTCAGGCGATGTTCCCATGCAGAAAGTCAAGTTCAACGTCAATACTGAATACGCCTATCTCCAGAACTTCAAGATTCTTACCTGTACGGTTTCACTTGGTCTCCCCATGTTCTTTCTACGCATATCTTAATGTTTGATTTGGTGAAGAATTCGCTTACATTTAGTTTTTTTTTCCCTGGGAATTTTCTTTTCCGGGGGTGCTGTATTGCTGTTGTTTAGCTGTCTTTTCTTCGAAAGGGATCGATAGGCCTATTCCCGTCGAGCGTCTAGTCAAATGCAAGTTCCAGGACAATCTTGAGTTTCTGCAATGGACGAAGAAGTATTGGGATCAGTACTATCCTGGCGGCGATTACGATGCGCTCTCCCGCAGAAAAGGCGCGGGCTCGGTCGGTGGCAATCCTCCTCCTACCTCTCGCGCCAATGCCTCTTCCGCCGCTGTGAAACGTGGAACTACTCCAACAGTTGGTGGTGGTGCTCGGACCAGAACTCCCCTCGGTGGTGCCAACACTGCCGCGCTCCAGCAGGAAAATAACATGTTGAAGGAGAATGTTGCCGGGCTCGAGCGCGAGAGGGACTTTTACTTTAGCAAGTTGAGGGACATTGAATTGTTGATTCAGCAGGCTGTCGAGCTAGATCCTAAGATTGACGAGGAGGAGGATGGCCTGATCAAGCATATACAGGCGACCTTGTACTCCACAGAGGTGACAGCCCCTAGTGACCATGAAACGATTCAAGGGCGCGCTGACATCGAGAAGGAGGGATTCGAGATACCGGCTGAGGATGGCGGCGACGATCTGGAGACATTCTAGATGGGGGATCTATGATGTGGGCCTTGGCTTAAACTATGAACGAGGGGGTTAAAAATCCACGGAAGCCTGACCATTGCGTGGAGTAACGCCGTTTTCAACGGATACCTTTTTCACTTTCACTTTTCAGTTTTCCCACCTTTCTCTCCTTTCCCTAGTGATTCCTTTACCCCAATTATCCTGTTCCTCCGCCCTTACTTTCGCCGCCCCGGGGTTTCAATTAGTAAAATTGTATTTTCTCGCACCGCTTCGTCCCGTATTGAAGTGCTTGATTTCTTTTTTTCTTGATTTTGTTCTTTCTTTTCCGTGCTATAAGCATTGCCTGGTAGTTTTCGAGCGTTTGGTCAAGTTTGGTGGGAGATGCCCGTTTGTGAAATGGAACGTAATTCGGGAGAAGGCGTGTTCTAGATGAAATGTTGGGAGGAAATATGATAAAGTTCACGCTTTCCTGTATGTGAGGCTAGGATTACAGTCAAGTAAAAGGAAAAAGTGATATTTCGGTAGATGTTTCCTTTGTGATTTTGAAGTTATCTGTGATCCGGGAAAGAGAGATTCACATGATGGGGGATGGAGAGACCATTGCGGACTGTCATGACCCTTGAAACAGGGGATAGAATATTGTGACCCGTAGAGCAGCCACCGCCGCAGCCACAACAACTGTACTTAACTTGATAATTCGAGACACGACAGCAGCCCCGACGCCGGACAATCGTAAACTCATCCCTACCAAACCACCTTATCCAACTCTCCTCTCCCTACCCCCGCCAAGTAAAACGACAATTTGAGGCAATCAATAATCCCGCATGCTAACATAACATTCAGTCGCACAAAAAAAAACAATTTACCTCCAAACCAAACGATAATAATCCCCACCCATTCAATGTCGCTCCTCGGCATCCTCCAGGCCCAAGCTCCCCCGAAGCAAGATGCCACATCGACCATCCAGACGCTATGCCTGCGCTTGTCCACAAGCACGCTCCTAGAAGACCGGCGCGCCGCGATAATGGGCCTGAGGAGCTTCGCCCGGGAGTACAAGGAGACCGTAGCGTCCGGGGGTCTGCGGGGGCTCATTGGTACTCTGTCGAAAGATTCGGAGGATGTGGATACTATCAAGGCTGTCCTTGAGACGTTGTTGCTATTGTTTGTTAAGGATGAGTTGAATGTTTGTTCCAGGAATTATCATATCTCCCCTGTGTGGGGTTTGAGCTAATGTGTAACCGGAGTGTAGCCGGAATCGAGTGAGGATATTGCACTGTGGCTTACGGATGAGTTTACTCAGGTTGGCTTTTTTTTTCTTCCCCAGTGTTTAGAAGGAGGGCTAACTGGGTGGAGGTAGAAACAAGAGAATATCACAATTCTTATTGGACTGTTGCAGGATTCCGACTTTTACATTAGGCTTTATGCGTTGCAGTTGCTCGTCGCGATATTGAGCAATCGGCCATCTAGAACACAAGAGTGTATTCTTACTGCCCCCCTTGGGATCTCGAGATTGGTTTCTGTACTTGATGATAAACGGGATGCTATTCGTAATGGTTAATCACCTCCTCCCCCCCCGCAATTTTGATCTCACAGGCCGCTGATTCCGCTCCAGAGGTCATACTCCTAATAATTAACCTCTCTAACGGCCATACGGACATACAAAAGCTAATCGCTTTCGAAAACGCCTTTGAGCGAATGTTCTCCATAATAGAGCTGGAAGGCGGCGTCGACGGAGGCATCATAGTCCAGGATTGTCTTCAATTACTAAACAACCTGCTCTCATTCAACGTCTCGAACCAGAGCTACTTTAGAGAAATGGGGTGCGTCCCCCGGTTAGCGAAGCTCTTCCAGTTCGCGCAGGAGCCGGTGCCGTCCTACGCTAAGGAACAGAGGGATACGAATATTGGGCATGCGATGAAGGTGTGCAGGTTGTTTGTGGTCCCGGGCGGATTGGGCGCCACGGCGAATCAGAATGCGTTTTTCAGCGCGGGAATATTGGACCTTATGCTGGTTGTTGCGTTTTCCGGGTTTAGTGATTTCCCGGTTCGCGCGGAGGTTTGATTTTTCCCTCAGTTGTCTGATTGGCCTCATGGTATGCTGATGGGAAACAGGCGTTGAGAACAGTCGCGGATCTCATTCATGAGAACTCGCCGCTTCAGGAGAACTTTGCTCAGATGAAGGTTCAGTACTTGGACCCTACGATATTGCCGGAGGTGCAGGCGCAGCAGAATGATCCTGACGACTTGTGTTATGTCATTGAGGGGTTGTTGGATCTTGCCTTGTTGAACTCTTCAATTCATGCTTTTGACGCTCGATTGGCGGCATGCCAGTGCTTGGAGTCGTACTTTGCTGGGAATGAACCCGTTCGATTGCACTTCCTGAACCATGCTATTAATTTGCATGTACAGGGGGACGAGTCCGCGAATGTTCTTACCTGCTTGATTAGCCTTGACCAAGACTCCCGGGGCGACCCGTATAGGGTTTGGCTGGCGAGTGTGATATTCTTGCACTTGATATATAATGATGAGGAAGCGAAGAACCTGGCCACGTCTTTCAAAGAGGGGGATGCGGATGCTGGCGAAGAGGTGGTCACTGTGATCCAGAGCATATCCGCCAACCTCGTCGCTGCACTTGAACATAACTATGATCCGCGGATAATCATTGGGTATTTGATGTTGCTCTGCACGTGGTTGTTCGAAGATTCGCCGGCTGTGGATGACTTCTTGAACGAGGGTTCGAGCGTGCAGTCGCTTGTGTCTACCGTCAAGCAGTCTAGTAATTCGAATCTGTTGATTCAGGGGCTATGCGCGTTTTTCTTGGGGATATTGTATGAGTTTAGTCATAAGGATTCGCCGCTGCCTAGGTAGATTCTATATAAATCTACCGTTTGGGGTGTCTATAGTGCTAATTTTGTCCAGGGCCACTTTACATCAAATTCTGGCAAGCCGAATGGGGCGCGATCACTACGTCAATAAAGTCACTAAGCTCCGAGAAAATCCACAGGTCCGGGACTTTGAAGTGTTCCGGGAAACCAACCATCGGAAGAGAAAAATGGGATTGCCGGAGGTATATTTTGACCACACATTCATTGACTTTTTGAAGGACAATTACAGCCGGATATTAAGAGCTATTGATAAAGACCCTGGACTGGAGACGCATAATACTATCAGTAAGTGGCCCCACACTATAAGTGTGCGCAGGTTCTGACCGAATAGACGGCATCCCCCACGCCCTCAATGGAATCTCCGTCGAACTCGTCGACTCCCTAAAAGCCCAGCTCGAAGATAAAGACGAAGAAATGCAAAAACTACAGACAACCCGCCTAACGCTGGAGCAGAAAATAACCCAAGCACAGCACGAATCTCAGCGTGCAAAAGAAGCCGCTGCAGTGGAGATGCAAAAAGCAAACGCGGCAACAGAAATGCTCCGCCAACAGCACGACGCAGAATTACGGGCTACTGCACAGAAAGCGAGATCAGAAGTGAACGGGTTGGAGGGCCAGATTCAGAGGATCCGCTGGGAGGCTAGTGAAGCTGCAAGGAAAGCCAAAGAATGTGGAGATGGCGAAATTGCAGTTTTGCGTAGGAGGATAGCAGAATTGGAAGCCGCGGTTGAGAAAGGGAAGCTGGAGCGGGCAGGTGAAATGCAAAGGGTGAAGGCAGAGGGCGAAAAGGCCGTCGAAGAGGTAGCCTCAAAACTACACTCTGCAGAAAAAGAAGCACTGTTCGCCCACGAAAGCCTGCGCACATCCAAAGAGCACGCGAGAGAGTCCGACCAACTCCTGAAAACATCCGAGGAAGCTCTCATGGCAGCAAACGAGCGCATAACCAGCCTAGAAGAAGACGCCCGCCGCCAAAAATCCGAAGCCACCACCCTCCAAGAGGCCCTAACAACTGTACAATCCCGCCTCGAAAAAAGTACTAAACAGCAAACCGCCTCCGAAGCGCGAATCGGGGACCTCGAAACAACCCTTGCAGCCCTCGAAGCGTCGCTCAAAAATGAACAATCCACTCACGCACACATCCTCCACGAAGCCCAGGGATCCGCCGCTGCCCTAGAAGTCCGCGTCAATGGGCTTGAAGTGCAGCTCCGCGATGCCGAGCACGCGCGTAAGGAGGCGGACGAGGCGGCAAAGCAGAGTGCCGCGGAACTGGATGACTTGTTTATTGTGCTGGGGGACCTGGAGGAGAAGAGGGAGGGAGATAAGGTGTTTTTTCTATTCCCCCCCCCCCTTTTTTTGAAATATATTGTAGTGGCTAATGGTTGGGTTCCCTACATAGAAACGGTTGAAAGAGTTAGGTGTCGAGATGAGTGATGATGAGGATGATGGGGATGACGATGGCGGCGATGAAGAGGAGGAAGAGGAAGAGGAGTAGGTGAATATAGGTGTAGTATGATATGTAAATATGGTGGCTACTAGTCGGTACACTAATTTGGCGTTTGGAGTTTTTCCTCTTTTTCACCGCCAGTTTTTGTCCTTTCGAGTGAGGGATTGTGATGCATCCACGGTACGTCACTCGCTGGCTAGTTTGATGGTTGATGGCTGTGCAACGGAGGTTGAGGCAGCGGGGGGGTGGATCCGCCACTGTTTCACCGATGGGTTTTATACCAGGGCTACATAAAGCAATGTGATTTCGGGATATTTACAGTGCGGTGAAAGAATGAAAGAGAAAGGAAAAAAGGGCATGATAAAAATTAAGGGGGATTACCAGCGCAAGCACTGGTAATCCGAGCGGCGAAAGAAACCATATTGCATGACAAGAGGGAGCGAACGGGGGGAAGGCAATTATTTATCCTTCCTCTCGTCAAACTCTAATGCCCCAGTAAACGCTCCCAAACCCGGCACAAATTTGTTAACCATCTTCTGATACTCCTTATACTCCTTATACTTCCCCACAGTAATCTTCTCCGTCAGCCTAACGCTCGCCTGGAACAATGCCATATACGCCACCGCGCCCAAAGCAGTCCAATTCCAGAGCTCGTCGCAAACCAGGCACGACCACTGGTACACGAGCACCCAGATAGCCTGCTCAGCGGTGTAATTGGGGTGGCGACAGAATGACCATAGGCCAGTAACTACGAAGCCACGGTCCAGGTCGGCTTTGGCACAGCCTCGTGGTACAACGCCAGTGGTGAGGTAGGCCGTCTTAGCACTTTGGTAAGCCCACTGTTGTTGGTCCGCAAAGGCCTCCAAGAGGAGGGCTAGGAGGAGGCCGCGGGAGAGTACGAGGTCGGTGAGGGACCAGGCGGGGAGGGTGGGGAGGGTGGAGGCTAAGAGGTGTAGGTAGGCCGGGGCGGTGATCATCATTAGGAGGGCGTTCTGGATGAAGGAGATGAAGACTATGTTTAGGAGGATGAAGGCCCAACGGGGGACGCCTTTTCGGACAATCTCCCTAAAAGAGCCTGTTATTTCGGTAAGGGGGAAGGGGGGGATGGCATAGGTGGAGTATAACGTACCAGCGATAATCCTCCGAACCAATGTTGTACCCACCTCTACGCCAGTAATTGTAAGTTAGCCTAATCTGCATCCACAATCACGATTAGCCCCACTTCGCTCTCGGGTTATTCCCATCACTGCCACAGTTTGACGCTCACACTCCAAAGCAGCGAGAAAGCAGTCAGCGTATCAAGCCTCCGTGTATCCAACCCGTTCATACGAGCAAACAGCGTGTAATGGCCGATGTAAATTGACGGCAACAGGCTCCACACACGATCAACCTGGGAGTAGTTCCTGTTAATCTCGCTGAAGACGAGCACGACCAGGGTCACCGCAAGGGCAAAGTGCGCGGCGGTTATCAGTGGGTTGGTCGATAGGTACCATTCTTTAATGGGCACTTGACCAGTGAAGAGCGGTTGAATGTGGGAAATGGAGAGTTGGTGAAGGAAAGGGGTCACAGTTTTACTGAAATCTGATACGTCTGAGAGGGACGATATCGCTGGTAGGGGGAGGGAGGTTGCCATTTTTTGGGGGGGTAGCGGTGGCTAGGAGGTGAGGATGAGGATGAGATGGAGGTGAGATGGGAACGAGAGAAGGATACTGTACGGTAGGGGGAGAGATAGGGTGAGCTACCGGTACGGGTATCACACCGTATATGAAAGGCAGCGCTTGCATACCCGAGTAGTGAGGGCGCATGTATGATAAACCTTTCCTGGATGAGGTCACCTTCGTAGAATTATGATGCGATTCGGGACGCCTAGATTGACAGGGGCTCGCGACCGGGCCAGAAGGGGCAACAGTGCTCCACCAGTAATTAAATTACAGCACTCCACAGTACTGTACTCGTACAGGTCAATCGTTCTGTTGCTCTGATCCGACAGAAAGCGGACGATGGCTTCTTCCGGGAAAAGTGGTCTACCCCCCCTTCCAGTCCACCGTGCCAGCACTGTGCCGGGCTCACGAGATCTCGCTCTCTGTCCGGAAGAAAAAAAAAGGTCCCAATCACGGTGGACAATGCAAGTGCGATGCCCCCCGCGATCTGCGCCCCCCCCCCTTCGTTAAGCCTTCGGACAACCGCAAAGTCCTAGATTCAAGCGCTGACCTAACCAAAGCGTTCAGACATAGACTAGCATCCAGATCGTGTTCCCGAACCCGTGGATGAGACACGGATTTAGGCCGTTTAAAGACTCCCGATACGGTAGGTCTACAAGGAAAAAACCTTTTGGATACCATCCCCCGGGAAATATACCATCGAAAAAGTGAAACCTTTGCAACGAACAACAAAATATTTACACATCTCCACCCATCTTTTTATTGTTCAAAAATGCAAATAAATTAAAAAAAAGTCCTGGGAAAAAGTAATGAAATACTCACACTCTGCTAGTATTTTTAAAAAAATTCTCCCCAACTTTTTAAGATGAACTAGGTAATACTGAAGGTGTTTAGCAATCTTCTTAGAGTTCTTGGCAAAGGAAGATAATTGTGTACGAAGGTTTCACTTCTTCGATGGCATGTTTCCCGGTCGATGGTATCCGAAGGGTTTTTCTGCCAAGAGCATGGTATCCAAAAGGTTTACCCGTCTACAAACGGTATTTCTCTCTAGAGCCTCAACCCGGACTCTCCTCTCCAAGTCCCGGCCAAAACTCCTCTGCTCGGCCGAGACCCTCCTCCGTCTCCACCCGTGCTCGCTCATCCCCTTCGAAAAACAAGCGATACCCACCAGAACTCTGACTATGAGAAGGGTCCTTTGTGTGGCGGAGAAGCCCTCGATCGCAAAAGCTGTTGCCGGGCATTTAAGCGGGGGTGCCATCCAGAATGTTCGTCTCCTTCCCTCTCCTCACTCCGACGACACCAAAAGTGTGCTACAAGACTCATGAAGATACGATAGACTCGAGGTACTGGCAACAAGTACATTAAAAATTATGACTTTGTTTATCGGTTCTCACCATGGGGGGAATGTAATGTTACCATGACATCTGTGGTGGGGCACACGATTTCTTGGGACTTTGCGGATGAGTTCAGGAGGTGGAAGGACTGTCAACCGTCGGCATTATTCGATGCTGCGACCAAGCAGTTTGTTTCTGTAGGTATCCCTCCTGCGTACCGTCGGGGGAAGAAGGCATTGATGGTGAAGCATAGCCGGGCAGCAAAGAGGTAGCCGCAAATATCTCTTCCGAAGCACGGAGCGCCCAAATTCTATATATATGGACGGATTGTGACCGTGAGGGGGAGTACATCGGTACTGAAGTGATGGATCTGGCAAAGAAGACCAACCCCCGGATCGAAGTCAAACGAGCAAAATTTTCAAACATCGAACGAGCACATATCCTCCACGCCGCTCAACATCCGGGGAATCTTGATGAACGCCAGGCGGCAGCGGTCCGTGCTAGGATTGAATTGGACCTTAGGATTGGGGCGGCTTTTACTAGGTGGCAGACGATGCTCTTACAAACTGTGAGGGGGTTGGATGAGCAGGTTGTTAGCTATGGTTTGTGTCGCCTGCGAATACATGGGTGCATTTCTGATTTTATCACCGCAGGCTCTTGCCAGTTCCCGACGTTAGGATTTGTGGTCGACAGGTACAAAAAGGTCAAGAACTTTGTTTCGGAACCTTTCTGGTCGATTACAGTGATACACAAGAGGGACGATATAAACGTCAATTTCTGTTGGGACCGGGCTTCTCTATTTGACAGAATGACCGTAATGATAATGTATGAGAGATGCCTGGCTGCGAAGGTCGCCAGGGTGGTTTCCGTCGTTAACAAACCAACCAGTAAACTGTAAAGATTACTTTACGAACGTACTAGCTTGATACTGACAATCCCTAGGAAACCATTACCATTAACCACGGTAGAGCTGCAGAAACAGGGGAGCAGGTTCCTCGGGCTTTCATCTCAGCTGGTCATGAATGTAAGCATTGCGTAACTGCATTTTTTTTTTTCCTTCTCCTTTCGGAAGCTGATGGGTGCAGATTGCGGAAAAGCTATACACCCAGGGCTTCATAAGCTATCCCAGAACTGAAACCGATCAGTTCGATAAGGGCATGGATCTTCAGGCCCTTGTAGGGAAGCAGACTCAAAGCCATGCCTGGGGCCAATTCGCTCAAGGGTAATTATACTCAGTGTCGCACCATTTCACCTTGGCTGACATGCACCAGCCTCCTGGCGGGCGGCTTCTCCGAGCCCAGAAATGGCACGCATAACGATAAAGCCCACCCTCCGATCCACCCAGTAGCCTATGTAGCTCCGGACAAACTGAATGCAGATGAAAAGCGGGTATATGAATACGTCGTCCGACGCTTCCTAGCCTGCTGTTCCAAGGACGCCCGTGGAGAAACCACGACGGTAAAACTCCAATACGGCGAGGAAGGCTTCCACACCACGGGCCTGATAGTGCTCGAGAGGAATTACCTAGAAGTCTACATCTACGATAGGTGGACATCATCCCAAGAACTACCCGTCTTCAAGCCCGGGGAAACCTTCAACCCCACTGAAGCCACAATGACAGAAGGCAAGACATGCCCCCCCGGATTCCTAACCGAGCCGGAATTAATCGCTCTCATGGACGCGAACGGCATCGGGACCGACGCTACGATGGCAGAACACATTGCCAAGATCATCGAGCGAAAGTACGTTTTTGCCCGGCCAAAGAGCGGCGGGAGCGGTGGCCGAGGGTCACGGGGAGGCCGTGGCAGGGGACGCGGTGGAAGGGGTGCGGCAGAAGCAGACGGTGGAGGTGGGGGAAGAGGAGGAATGCAAGAATTCTCCCCGAGTAACCTGGGAATCGCACTAGTCGAGGGCTATGATAACATAGGGTTTGACATGTCACTTAGTAAACCGTTTTTGAGGAAGGAGGTAACTATCTCTCTCTATCTGCCTATCCATCCATCACTCATACCTTATCGCCTCACCTTCCCCTGGGACAACTGCCGACTGACTGATTGGTGTGAAAACGAAAAAAAAAAATAAGATGGAAGAAAAAATGAAAAAGATCTGCGAGGGAGCAATGACTCGTTGGGATGTGGTGAGCTCTAGCGTCGAGCAGTACAGGGAAATGTTCGTGAAGGCCAGTCAACATGGTGATATTCTTAAAGCCGTAAGTCACCGCTTTCCTTTTATTTTAACCCCCCCACACGCACGAGTGTGGGATTTTCTGCATCAAATACCGGTAAAACGGAACCAGCTGAGAGGTCTTCATAGTGTGCGCAACGCTACCTAACGCCACCGTAAACTCTACTCCACCCCACGGTACTAGGGACCTTAACGGTTCCGTTGCCTGCCGCATTATCTGGCGAGAGCCAGCGGACACTTTTACTCTGAAATAGGAACTGGCTGGGGTGAAACTTGTGGTCGCGTTGGAATCAGGGCCATGAAAAGTTTAGCCCCAGCTATAAACAGTTAGGATATGGTGTTTTGCTGCGATTTCGAGACAAAGCAAGGATAAGACTCTTATTTGAACGTACTAGCGCCTGTCAATTCTCGCCAGATATTATATACGGCACAAGTTGAGTGGGGGAGGAGGAGAAGGGGGCGGGGAGTGCTTACTACACCGTACTACTCGAGTAGCAACGGTAAGACTATGGCAATCAAGTCGAGTTATTTAGGGCAGCGCTTGTGGCTGTATAGTAGTCTAACCTCCACTCTAGATGTGCTCGAGTACGTAAAGTACTAGTACAGTAGATTGAGGTGATGCGTACTGTAGATTACATATATTGCATACCCGCACCGTACTCGTACATGACCCATAGAGTAGGAGTACATCCATACCGTGTTCGATAAGACAGCACCAGGCAGGCCAATAAAAGGGAAAAATTCGCACACAAAGTACCGGTAATAATTCTCTCACACATCTCACCCCCGGACCCGTGACCGGTACCGTATGATACAGTACCATGCCATTGTGCCAGAGGGCACCGTACGGTAGTGAGATCAACCGACGGCAACAATCCGGCACGATTCAAGTGCGAAGAACGGATGAACCACGCTTTCTAGTCTATCCACCATTACGGTAGTCTACTCTTCGAGGAGCGCTTCAAGTACCCCTACTTTTCAATATCGAAATTATTATGTCATCCCGCAAAATTGTTTCTCTCCCCCCCTTTTTTTTTTGCTTCTCTCTTTTTCCCTCCTTTTTATTCCCGTATTTTTTCATTGCCTTTCTTTTATCATACAAGTATCATACGTATTCTACCCTAGCGCTACTATTGTACTCGTATTGTGATAATTACCGTAGAACCGTGGAACCCTACCCGGCATATTATTAATCTGTAGGGCTTACTGTACTAGGGGTATTCAAAGTTGAAAAGATGATTTTTCAGTAACGAGTAACTACCAGAAGGTGCATTAGGTTACTTTATGGTATTAGCCAATCATATCCATATGTTTCATGTAGCATATTTGAATACCCCAAGGTAACCAAAGGTAGAGGGTAGAAGTTTTCACAGATCTTACCGATACTGAAAATTTTCAGTATTTGTTAACAAAAGACCTAAGTGAAGAGATTTTTGTCAGAGAAAGCAGCTAATTATTTTTAAAGTGTACAATAATATTTTAAGATTTTCCTCTGATTTTTTAAAAATTTCTTTTCAAATCATCTATCATATTGAAGTTCTGGTAGAGTTCAGTTGATACAAATTTTGGAGTAGATACGGACCTCCAGACCTCCGTATCTAACCAAAAAAAAAGTATGGTATGGTAAAGTAAAATGAGGGTAAAGTAACTGTTTTTGTGTCTGCCAAGCTTACATGAAACAGCAAAGTAAGCTACTTTTTTTCAAGTTTTTCAACTTTGAATACCCCTACTGTATTCGTATGCCATGGTATCATATGATAGGAAGGAATTCCTTCCTGCTAAGGCTAGCACTGTACTGTACTGTACTGTACTGTACTGTACTATACCGGTACTACAGTACCAGTAGGTAATCCAGATCCGAACGCGCGTGCAAGCTCCATACGCCATCACACCTGCACAAGACGAATTCCCTACGAGTAACTTACTCGTAAGCAAAGCTACGTACTCTAGTGCTCTTTTCTCCCCCTCTCTCCTCCCGCCCTGATATACATACACAGTCCGTCATCGTAAAGCACTCTACACGCTAGTCTACCGCCCATAGATAGATAGATATAAGGAAAAATGAAGAAGGTCAATCCGTGGAATAGAAGGGGGGTTTTTTATTTATTTTTTACACACGCGTTAAGTGTAGCGTATGTAGTATCGGTTTATTATATCTGTATCGTGCGGTGCTGTATGATACTCGGGTGGTTATGATGGTGTCGTGATTGAATGGGTATCGTGAGTAAGAAAGGGTACAAGTACCGTATGATACTCCACTCTACTGTACCGATCGGTAGGGTAAGGTAGGCGGCGTGGGTTGTTTGTGGGTTGTTTGTGGGTTGTTTGTTGTTGGTGTTTGAGAATGGTTTTTGTGGCTTGTTTGTATTGTATCGTGTAATGCTATGATACTGGGTATAAGTATGATAGTATAGAGGGATATGGTGTAAGAGGAAAATTTGGTGTATTAGTAGAGTCGGGGGGGGGGGTTGTGGTCAGAGTTGTTGATTACCGGTATTGTGTGATACCGGTGCTATTTGTGCTTACGATAAAATGACGGATGGAGTGCTCGTAGGGGATGGATGGGTGAATGAATGAATGAATGAGGTCATGATGGCCTACTCCGGTATATCCGTTATCAGTGTTTGGTATTGTACTGGTACAGCACGGTATGATGCGATGCCGGTGTCTGTTCTTGGGTTCGGGAAGGTCAAATTGTTACCGTTGAAAATAAATGGATGGACGGATGGACGAAAAAGCGGGGGGAAGGGAGGGGAACAGAACGTGTTTTATTTATTCACATTTATTTATTTATTTATTGTTTTAACTACTGGTATGGTGCCTAGGCACGTTCGTGGCTGATAGGTCGTAGTCCGCCTCTTCCGCTCTTTAATGAAGGAGCACCACCGTGGGAATGAAAAAATAAAAAAATAAAAAGTGAAAGAAATCTTGCCCTGCCCTGACTAGCCCCGGGCAAAGTTTAAAGGAAAAAAAACACCCTGATGTACATACATGTCATGCCATACATGGCCATTCTCAGTCAAGAGGTGTCCATGAATGGATGAGTAAGGAAAAAAAGAAAAGAAAAAAGTAGAGGTGTAGATGGAACCCGAGTATCAGTTAAGACCTGAGTTCATCTGGGGGAGTATGATATGTAGATAGTCAAATGAATGAGTCCACAACTTTTTTGTTTTTCTCCTTTTTTTTTCTCTTGGTCGTGCTTTTCGGTTTTTTTTGTTTCGTTTGTTCCTTGTGAGGGGGGAAGGGTAGGGTAGGGTCGGAATATAATGCAATGGGAGGGGAGGAACCGGAAATGGAAAAAGGAATTATAATAAAAGAAGAAATGTAATGCGACGATGATTAAACGGAGACCAACCAATAATGGTGGAAGAAGGGGGGGGAATCGGGGGAGATAGTTAAACGTTTATGCAAGTGATGAGTCTGATGATAGTGAAGGGAGAGGAGAGATGAAGATATAAGAAAAACGCCCAAAACAAAGTTTCCCCTCCCGACATAAAGAGAAATGATAAAAGTACCCAATCCCCACAGCCATGTATTTAATTTCTCCGGACAGAATAATAGAAACCCATACGCCGAATAGACAGTGTAAAAAAGGAAAAAATAAACAACCTACGCCGAACCGAAATGGATCACACAGAGCTGAGTTTAACAAGAGCTTCTACAGCCTCCCGTTCCTCCCTAGCCCTGGCCGAAGCTCCCCACGCCGTCGGAAGGTTATCGAACCCGCCACCTGTAGGGGATATCGGCGACCCAACTTGATTCCTGAGCATGGCCGCGCCCATTTGGGCCCAGTCTTCCTCATCCGTGACGTCTCCATCATCGTCGTCCTCCTCACCATCTTCAGAAGACGAGGAATCATCCAGTGACATCCTATCAACCCCGTCCTCTTCCTCCACGCCCTCTGAATCCATAGACTCCTCTCCCTCCTCCTCCGATTGCACGAAGATGCCCGACTCGCCAGTGTAGCTCGTGCCCACAACTCCAACCCTCGTCTTCACGAAGTTGGAGTGATCAGAAGCTGCTGGCGATATCCCCCGATGGGACCTCGGTGGATCGGACTTCATCCGCGCATCCCAGCGTCCCCAGCCCACTTTTTCAAAGACCACGTCACCATTGACACCACCAGCCTCGCCCTCGCTCCCACTCACCCCACCACGCCCTTCCAACGCGCCAACCACTAGTCGCCGCTGCTTTGCCGGTGGAATACTAGAGAAACCCGGTATGGCAGAGATCAGATGTGCTGTCAAGTGTCGGATCGCCAGTGGGCCGTGCCTAAGCAGAATCTCTGGAAGGTGGTATTTCGCCAGGAGGGCCGGAGTGATTGCCCCCGTTGTTTCAGCAAGCAACGAGGTTGCGGGTGCTGCATTCAGCTGGTGGTGGTGGTGATGAGCGGGAGTAGTGCTGGTCCCGGCAACAATGTCCGGAACGTCAATGTCCGAGTCCACGGATGCAGTCACAGGGTTCGGCACCGGTGGCAGGGAGGGCGAAATGGAGTTCGGCGGCGTGGGAAAGTGGGAGTACGGCTCAGGGAGCGTGAACGCGTTGTTGTCGGATACCGTCGCTTTGCCGCCGCGGTGGAGGCGGGAGGTCGGGATCGCGACGGACATGGAGGTTGCTGTGGTGGCCATGTTGGGTGGTAGTGTTGCTTGGAGAAGAAGAAAAGGTTTGGGAGTTCTGGTGGATGGGTCAGTCAGTTGGCTTTTCCTCCTGTTTTATCAAGTGATCTGTGGCATGGTGAATTTCCTGCGGTTTTTGCCTTCTCTTTTTTTTTCTTCTCTTTCTTTCTTTCTTCGTTTTCCTTGGATTTTTTTTTTTTTGCTCTTCTCAGTGAGTCACATGGTAGGGAGGCAGATGGGTGTAGGTAATTAAGCAGCGTGCGGTAGCTCACACGCGCAGCTACCATCGTACCCATCGTAAACCAGACTAACACCACCAAGTAAAGCAGATCAAGCAGAGCTGGGCAGGCGAGAAAGGCAAACGGCTAAAGAAAGGTTCCTGATCCCTCTTCCCTTCTCCAGCCATCAAAGCGAAGCTTCGAAAAGTAGAGAACCTCCGACAACCGACCGACAATCATCAACCGCAACAAGGGGGGGGGGGACAAAGGAACACAGCTGCTCACCTTGATAAAGAATGATAGCTAGAGTGATAAAAAAGTTCCAACGTTGTTATGCTCAGGAAAGAACAAAGTAACAAGGGAAAGGGAAAGGAAGGAGAAGAAGAAGAGGAAGGGGAAAAGAAAAGAAAATGACAAGAAAGAAGGGGACCCAGAAAAGAAAAATAAAAAGGGTGAAACCGAAAAAGCTACAGTGCCCGTACCAAATGATAGGGAATGTAGAGGTTATGGGGGGGGGCGTGTGTGGATGGAATGGTATGGTCTGGTACCGGTATGGTGTGGTATGGGTATGGTAAGTTAGAATGAGGCAGGATAGGGCGGGCAGGGCAGAGTAGAATGGGAACAACCACCACCACCACCACCACCACACATCTCGATGAATGAACGAAATGAAAAGGCAGGGTTATGACATCCTAATATTGTATTGTACAGTTATGATAGGCACGAGTTAACGGACTGACTGGCAGGCTTCGTTTCTTTTCTCTTCCTTCTGGCGGATACTGTAGTTTCACGCTGCCGGTGCGAGGAGAGGATACATATACGCGCACATACACATAACATACGGTACAGTTACGGTACACACATCATCTCACACAAACGGGTTCAGTGGGAGGGCTGACCTATCGTTACCGGTAGCTTATGCCAGTGGACATACCGTAGGCTACGCTCACTCAGAATCCACTACCGGTATGTACTCGTACTTGTATCACCACCACCACCACCACCACCTCCTCCTCCTCCTCCTCCTCCTCTTCCTCCGCGTTCACCACAAGCCTTCACCCCCCGTGGTGGATGTATTCGATGCGGTACCTCTCCGTAAGCAAAGGCCGTGACCCAACTTGTATCTCTCTACAAGCTACCTCTCCCGGTTTCGGTGCAGGTTATGCGTTGGTTGGCTGGTTGGTTGGCTGGTTGGCTGGTTGGCTGGCTGGCCTCTCCGTTACCAGTACTCGTACCGTCCCGCATCACACTCTCGCTCATTCTCACTCTTACTAAACGTGGGACACGGGTGTCTTGCCTTGCGCTTGTACGTACTCGAGTATTCGTATCGCCCTTATTATTTGACAACACGGGTAGAAATAAATGGTTGGATTTCTTCGCCTTGACTTTTTATCCTTGACTTTGACCCCCTGCGGCCTTTTCGTTGGGACCCCCCGTGCCATAAGCATTCGATAGCTGCTCGTAGCTATGATACCGGTAGCAGAGCCCGGCGTGGCATACATAGCATAGCATACTCGATTACTCGCGCAAAACATGGCATCGTCATCATCCCCAACCGGGGAAAGATCACTCCTTTTCGTATGATATTTAACTCGCGCGACCGAGGTTCAAGTCGGATATGGCACTCGAGTACATAGCATCCCCCATACAAAGCGTCCAACCTCAGCTCGACCACGCTAGTACTCGCACAGGTACAGTACTTGTGCAGCACTAAATTTTGTTTTCGAGTGTCAACAAAAAGGGGGGGTGGAGGGACAATCGGATGAACGTGAGCGAGTGAGTGGATGAGTGAGCGAGTTACTGTACGGTAAGGAAAGGGGGGGGAGGGGGTTATTCCCTGAAATTCCCGGGGTTGGCCGGGAATTTCCTTATCGTTTCCTCTCTCTTTTTTTTTCCCGTATTATATATCCAAACCCTTATTTTTACCTTGACTGACTGACTGCGTATGATATAATAATTAGAGTGCACCGCACAGAATCCCAAGCCGGCCCCTCGGGGGGCGAAATGAAACGGATGGAAAACGAAACGAGGGGCTTTTCGGGGATCGCTGATTCGTTGATTTGGCTGCGCGTGGTTTATGTCATGGTTGGTGGTGGGGTATGATATGATGCGGTTGATGATTTTTGCCAGAGTGCTGTACGAGTACTGTACGATACCGGCGCTCGTGCTGCACCGGTGGTGGATACGGTATCATACTGAGGAAGGATGGGAGTGGAGATGGAGCTTAATTGCTTGTGTATTCATGTGGTTATAGTAGAAGGACCTCCATCACAACGAGCATTTCTGTATATGCCTACCGTGCGGTACAGTACTCGAGTATGATACTGTATCCCAACAACCTTCTTCTCTAATTAGATTCTCATACCTGAACTCTGGAAAAGCATGATACTGACATCACCGACAACCAACCAACCCCCCCTCTCCAAAAAAAAAAAAAAAGGAAAAACCCCCGAGTGATCCCACCATCACCACAAAAACTCCGGAAACCCACGATAATCAATCACGGCAACTACTCATATAATAAATTTTTTTTAAAAAAAACACAACCGTTTTTTTTACCCGCGAATTCTATTTCACGCACGTGCGATCGCCTCCAGGATCTATCCATTGTATTTTCCCTTCCCTTCCCTTCCCTTCCCTTCTCTCTCGCCATCTACTCCTCTTCTCCCGCTCGGGACCGGCAGTGTACGATTTATAGATTAGATTAGATAGATAGATACGGTAGATAGGATATACCGGTACGGTAAGCTTGTATGTACGATATGACATGATACCCTAATTACCATGCAGAGCCCGAGTACCGTACCGTACCCGTACAGATAGTCTATGATACAGTAGTCTAGCCGTCACAGTAACGGATAATCCACCAGCGAACGGGTACGGTACGGCAAATTCCACATAGTCTACGCATTGTAGTTATCTTGATTACCGGTGCAAGTGTATAGCGTGTATATAGACTACGGTAATAGCTATCATTACTCTCGATAAAACTTTGTGTCATGTTATGTGCTACCGGTAGTAACAGCGCAATGAGATAACTTACGGCGCTCGCACAGATAAGCAATCTATGGTACGGGTATGATACCGCTGCCGGTATCCTGATGTATGATAATGATGTGGACGTGTGCGTGGGTGGGATGGAGCCCTAACCCTTTGCTTTTCCCCCATCATATCGTACCTACGAGTAGACTACTCGTATCCTACGGTATTGTACCTGTGATGCGTACCGTACTGTAGTCTACCCCCCACCTCCCCCCTCCCTGACTTCATAACGGTAACTATACTGTACGTACGGTGTCGTAGTCTACTGTATCGTTCCAACACAACATACCTCTCTACCTTGAATTGCAATACGGGTAAGGTATGGTATGATATGATATGATGCATCGTATCCATCAAGGTTCCGGTATACCCCCTACCTAGGTTTGTATGTCATACATGAACTTGTGCTCGTACATGTTACTCTACACATAAAAAATCACTTTCTCTTTCAGGCACCAGGGCACCGCTGTGGGAACCGTGCACAGCGTTGTATATGGTATGGTATGGTATGGTACCGTATCGTACCTATCCTCCCCCGCTGTGTTCGCAGATCTCAGCCGCAAGGGCTACAGCTGTAGGTACCCTACCCTTGTCCCACTGCGGATATACACACCGATCGGGGGGTTCAGATCAGTATCCAGTGACGAGTCCATGATGTGCCAATTTCCGTGTGGGGGAGGGGAGGAAAGCTTCTCGTTAGTTTTTGTTTGCCGAGCACCGTACCGTAGACTACGCACTGTACGGTACCCACTGTATACACTGCGGCACTCGGGAAACAGATATTGTGCTCGTACCCGTCGATTCGTAATGCATCCGAACATAAGTAGTTGTTGCCAAGGGATGGATGGTGTCTCGTGCTCGGGTTCGAGCATCTTGGCGCCTTTATTTCTGGGTGTGGTATCATACGGTAATTGGCGGGGTGGTGAATTGATGGGTGAACACGCAAGGGTGCTGCTGTGCGAGTACAGTACCGTACTCTACTCTACCCGTAATGTTGAGCTGTTGGCGGTGCGAACCATGTGGTGCGGTATGGGTGTGGTGGTGGTGGATGAGCTCGGCTCCATCACATTACCCTATCAATGTTCTACACGTCCTCTCTGGATCGGGCGGCTCACTTGCTGATCATGGTATGTCACTCGAAGAGTGGTTAATGGGTTGTTGCTGTGGGTGCGTTTGAAGGGTGGAGCATAAAGAGTGCCGGTTTGACCGTTGGCTCCCAGCTGGTTAGCTGGGCCTTCGGGTTGGCTTTTCTTTTTCCCCCTTTCTTTCTTTCTTTCTCTCCCTTTCTCGCAGACACAACTCGGGGAGAAAGGGAAGCGCAGAGGGAAGGGGAAAAAAAAATAGAAAAAAAAATACACGCAGAACAAGAGGGACGTCAAACAGAATCAGTGTGCCATTTTAGCTCAAGTTCTATGGATAATGAGAGAGCTCGACAAGAGAGAAGAGAGGGAAGGAAAGGATCGCAACAAAACAAATGCTTAGGAAACTGCCATATAGTCAATCCCAGCCATCACCGCTCATGCTCAAACTGCTTCCCTCGCTGTTATCGCCTGCTTCCTCGATCTCCCGAGGAACTGGCTTCGTGGGCGGCAGGGTGTTTGCTTGTCTGTTGTCGGCCTCGTCAGCGAATCCAATCTGAACATTCTCGGCTTTCTGCCAGATTGGGCGATAGAGGTTTGGCGAAGGTTTTGCGCTGGCGCCGTCTTCCCCGCCCTTTAGGAGCCCGATTTCTGCCAATTTGACAAGCGCTTGAAGGGTATATGCCGCGTCGTTCCCTGATCATTTGGGAATTATTAATTTCCTACCGGGGACAATTGAGGCAGAGATGTGGGGAAAGGGGGGGAAAGGCTCACCAGCATTGTGCAGATGCCTAAAATCAACACCAAGGTCATACAACATTGGCCCCAAGCCTTTGCTCTGGTGGTCGCTCATTACTGCCTTCCACATGCAAGTGGTGTCGATAACCTCCAAACCGGAGATATTGCTAACATCGTAACCAACCGCCATCAAAAAGTCAACGTCGGTCTTGACATCGTGCCCAACGAGCACAACCCTTCTCTTTTCACCGTAGTTGTCGTAGTGGCGAAAGCACTCGCCGATTCTTTTGGGGAGTTTCTCCAACGACACAAACTCAGAATCCCCAAACATGAAAAGATCCGCAGCGTCCGTGACAAACTGACCATTACGCATGTTTCTATGCTCACTAACACGGAAATGGTGGGTCTTGATGATGCTGATTATAGCGTCACTCCTACGGAGGGGAGCATTGGATAGACCAAAGCTATCTTGAATAGCTTTCAAGATTGTTTCGCGGCCCGCGGCATTCTCCTGGGGGGGAGGGATTTTCGTGGTATCAAGAATGGCGATGCCAACCTCAGTTATTACGTTGTGATTGTGTTCGAATGCCTCAACGTCAATGCTCACAAAGACCGGGAAGGTTTTTTCGACCTCATGTCCAGAAGCTTGTTGGGTGTATCCGAGATGGTTCCTTGCGGATTCCACTTGGGATTTCCAAGTTTCCATTGCCTGAAGCCTTTTCGCCGCATTTCGTTTAGACTTGCTATTCTTCTTAGCGGATGCCTTTCTCACCGAAGCACCGGATGTTTGTAGAGCTTCGTCCAATTCCGCCTTGCTCCCGAACTCACCCATGAGGATAGGAACATCATCCATGGAGTCCAAGGTATAGGAAATCTTCTCGAGTGGGAAATTCTGCAAGAGGCGGATGTTGGTTTCAGCGGCGACCTCCCTGAAGAACTGATCTACCTGAACCCAAGGGATCAAAAGGGTTCCGCTGACAGGAGTTTCGTAGCTGTATCTAGGAGTCCGACGTTAGATGGCGGTGCTCTATCCGAATGGAGAAAGATGAACGGCGGTGTGACTAACATTCTCCAGCCGTAGGCATGAAAGGGCTTGGAATCAAAGAAACGGCTGACAACATGTTGATCGGCTCTGGATAGAAATTTGTAAGGAAAGGCTCTCAAGGTTTTGTATTCCACAAAGTTATCCATCCTGATCTTGGTCTTGGTAGCCTTAGAAGGGGCGGATCTAGGCTTTGGCTTGTGGGGTTTTGGGATCTTCGACGGATGCTTGCGTTTAGCAGACTTTAAGGCTCCAGTCGAATGACTAAAGTCCCGGCAAGCCGTTGGTGGTTGTGGTCGCGGTGTTGGATGTAACGCTGGGGGTTGCTTAAGTGGTCGCGGCTGTCGTGGCACTGGTTCTTGGGGGCGGCTCTGTGTGGAGCAATATGTCCCCCGTGTTTTACCGCAGGATGGCAAAAAATGTGGGCAAACTCCTCGCCGTAGGAGAGTTAGGCCCATTGGCACATGATACTTTGTGAACAGGATGCCCATTCGCTTGTCCTATAGCCAGCAGGGTGCCGAATATGGAACCTTTTTGTAGGTTAATCTAATGGTGAGTGAGGTTTGATGTAAATACTCAAGATGTTTGCCAGGCATGCCAAACAGAGTTTTCGGTCAGATGTCAGAAGGTTAGGGTTGGGAGGGGAGATTGTGGGGGTGGCAAGAGACGGAAGGCTTAACTTGGACCCTAAGGCATGGGACCATACCGGCAGTCTACCGATACCGTATCGGCAGAGTGCTCACTATCGCGGTTAGGATGGCGTTGGGAGGGAAAGCCCGTGATTTAAGGGGGGGGGGGATTATCAGATCGCTCAAGCCATTTCGTACTGGCGGGGGGGGGGGGGAACCGAGAGTAATTCACCGCATTCATTTTATTTTTATCTTTTTCCAACTCCTTTTGTCTTCAATCCCAATTGGGGGTCAAGTCGGTAGGCGGGCCCAGGGATTGGGAGTTTGGTTCAGCACGAGGGATGCAAACAGTACGGTATCCTGCCAACGCTAGCTTGCAGGATGTGTACCGGCATAGGTCCTCCAAAACGGTATCATGCCATACCGGTACTCGTGGTGACCGTTGGGCAAATTCAAGATGGATCATACGGGGTATCACTCCATACAGACGAATACATTCCTGTCGGATAAGGGGGCAGCGTGCCGTGCTCTCCTGTACAGGATGGTCTTTATTTCTCAGCACGGCCATCCTGCTGTGTTTATTACACGGGGGAAAGGGGCATCTTGCATGGACCAACATCATACGCACGCAACCCTACCCCGTTCCCGTGGCTGGCCGATCACAACCTTGTCGAGATCTCTTCCAAAACAAGCACCGGTATGATCTGATACGGTAGGAAAGGGTTGCTGTCAGGTGTCATTGTGTGCTCGGTAGGCACTCGTGTACCCGCTTACGCCACATCGAACTCAACAACAACATCAACCACCTCCACACTTTGCCAACCTTTCGAACCCGCACACACCGCCCCCTCCTTACACCCCCTCCCCCACAACCCCCCGCACTCCAAACATTACCTCTCCAACCAGGGCTTCTGATCTCACAATATTTTTTATCTTCTGCTATTTTGTTTTTCGGTCACAACCATGGAGGAAGCGGTCGCGTCGTCTGAGTCCCTAGTGGATCCAGACGCCGTGAACATTACTCGCGAGTTCATTGACTGTCAGCCTTTCCCCACCTTGAACCCCCACCACTCTTGACGGCTACCCCGCTGACATGATGTTTTTGCAGTTACCGAATTCCTCCCAGCGGATATGTATCGTTCGTTGCAACTTGTCCGTCAGCTTAAGAAAAAGGCCGACGACCACAGCAAGAACGTCGATTTACTTTGCAAGGAATTCGCAAGCCTGCCTGAACAGAGCCGCGTCTTGCCTCCCAACCTCGATGTTTCACTTAGGGACTACGCTTGCCCTCCTATGAGCGAGAGGGAAACGGACTTAAGGATCAGAATATCCAATGCGATCAAGGGCGCCCAGTTCGCTCATCGGGAAGCGAGGGCCGAAGCTGAGAGGGCTTCACAGAATGTACAGACCAATGTGTGCTACCCTTACCTGTGTTATTTTGCTGACCGGGTCTAGATTAACCGTCATCATGCTCGTATCGTCGCCATCTATGGCGGGCTTTGCAAGGTCATAATACCGCCAGACGAACCTGAACAGAGACCTGCCGAGAGGCAACAGACCGATTTTCGGAAAATAAAAATCCGGATTTCCTCCCAGAAGGCAACTCCGGCAGGTCGCCACCCCCGCCTTCGTGGCTCCGCTTCGATTGCGCAAGCTTCTCGCTCACGCCAAAAACAGCGGGAGAGAAGTAACAGGGATGATGACGGTGACGATAATGAGTGGGAGGATATACCATCGACGCCATATAATTACGAAAAAATAAAGAAGAAAAAGAAATTGCTTGGTGGAATATCCAGACGTGGACCAAAAAACAATTGCGAGTCTCCATTTGTTGGTGGGGCTAAAGCGAGAAACGAAGATGGATCTTTGATCCCTAACAGCTTGCTTCCCTGGAATAGGCTTACAAATGAAGAGTTGGCGAAATTGCGAAAACGGATGAAGAAAAATTCTGGCTGGACACCATCCGTTACCATGATAATTCGAGAGCTTGAAACCTTGGGTCGAGGGCCTAAGCATAAGGAGAAGTATGAAGACCAGTGGGGAGGTAGAAGGGGCGATGAGTTTCTTAAAATATATGGACCGGAAGATGGTGGGATTGGTGATCCAGAGAAGATCGCACCAGATGACGGAGCAGGAGTTCGCGAGAATAAGGGCATGAAACTCAACCGTGCAAAAAAACGGAAGCGGGAGGAGGAGAGAAAGGAGAAAGAGAAGGAACTAGAACGCGAGAAATTGGAGGCGAAGATCGAGGAGGAGAGGCTCCGCTTAGCGCTCGAGCTTGAGGTCAGAATGAAGAAGGAAATTCAAGAGGAAAAGGAACGTGCAGAGCTTGCGAAGCGCGAGAGGGAAAAGGCAAAAGCTGAAGAGGAAGCGGCCATAGCCGCAGCCGCAGCCTCCGCAAAAGAGAAGAGGGAGAAGGAGAAAGCTGCGATGGAAGAAAAGGCTAAGGCAAGTGCTGCTCTCAAGGAGCAGGAGAGAGCTGCTGCCGCGGCAGCGGCAGCATCCGAACCACGGGTGCCTCAGCCAATCACCCGGTCATCTTCATTCAGCAGCCCGGGCTCGTCCTCTACCTCTCCAGCATCAACCTCTACCGGAGGGGACGAAGATTCCGAAATGCCCGACGCAGTCTCGGAAGAGCGCACAGCATCGCCTCCAATCCCCCCACCACCCCCGCCAAAGCCCCGCCTTGGCCGCCCTCCGAAAAACCCCAAACCCTCCATACCCTCCAGCTCCGATTCCCCACCCAGTTCTGGTGAAAAGCGGAAGCGTGCCCTATCGACAGTGATGACCGTCCTGCCAACCCCCTCTCTCGCTGAATCCCGCACAAAGCGCGGGACATCGGCCGCCGCACCCCCGACTGGAACGGTGTCACTCGCCGTCGGCCGCAAGCGCTCGAACGTCACTGGTCCCAAACCAAATAAACCGGCGAAGCCGGGCGTTGGCAGAAAGAAGGGCCTGGTGGCGGGAAACAGCCGCAGACGTGTGGATGTTCAGGATGCGGATGGGGCTGAGGAGTGGGTTGATGAGGAGGATGAAGACTCGAAGACTTATTGCCTTTGCGATGAGGTCTCGCATGGATTTATGGTTCTGTGTGACAACGAGCAGGTTTGCTCTCCCTCACTGATTTGTGTAAGTGGGTGGGAGTGATGGATTGCTAATTCTCGTGCGTTTCGTGTAGTGTTCTAAGAAGTGGTTCCACATCGACTGTGTTGGACTCACCGAGCAGGTAGCGAAGGATAGCAGCTCGAAGTGGTTCTGTCCGGAGTGTGAGGGGAAGAGAGGGAAAAGGAGGAAGAAGACTTGATTGTGGATTTTTCCCGCTCTTTTTTCTTGATCTCGCTTTATTTTCTCCATATTACCTCTTACCCCTCATCACCACTACCTCCCACCTACTTACCTATCTACACCGCTATCCTTACCTCCCTGATCATCCATCTACTATTCCCTTCCTATGCCTCCCCATCTATATTAGGCGAAGCGGTTTCCCTCCCTCTCACCTATCAACACCGTCATCGCTGTTATCACCGTCACCCCTACATCCGTTCCCCTTCCTCTTTTTCCCTTTCCCTTCTTTTTATTTTTATTTTTTTCATCGCAATTCCATCTCCTTTAGTCCTGCATCAACTTGCATTACCTATTTTTCCCTCGGTGAAAGCAAATCATCGGGATTTGGCGCATGTGCGGTGTATCATAGCGGATTATTCCTTTCTTTCTCATTTTTCCCCTCCTTGATACTCTTCGATGTGAATAACTTGGCCACCTTTTCGTTTCTCCTTTTTTTTTCTTTTCCCTTTTTTAAGTGAAGGTTGAGTATGCGCGTGCCGTATGGTGCGGCAGGGGTTTCGTTGGGTTAGGGGTCTTCTTTTGGGGGGGGGGGTTCTCTTTTGGCTTTGTCGGGTTTGGGTTCGCGGGGGGGGGGGGGGGTGTTTGTAGTTGCTGTTGTGGTTGAAGCTGTAGCTGTTGGAGGGAGTAATGATATTGTAAGATTAAGTAAAACAGAGTTCCTGGGAGAGGGGTTAGGAGGTGGGACGTGCGATTGTGAGATTGTGATGATGGAATTGGAGGTAGGTTGAAGGGAGTTTGTGGAACCCAATAGCACAGCGCAGTGAGCGAGTGAGTACGGAGCGAACACGTACGCACTTAGCACATACAGTAATTCCCAATCTACCCTTCACCGTGACATGTGCCCACGATGGCCCTCTATTACGAACTATTCCTGCCAGTCAGCACTCGAGTCTATCCTGTAGCCTTTGAAAATCCTGCAGCTACCCGAGCGGAACCCTATCAGAGCTAAATTCCAGGACGTGGGCCGCCATGCAAACCGACGATCCCAGAAAAACTCGTAGGGGCAACACCAACACGGGGTTGTGGGATTCCCAAGGCCCGTTAAAAACAAATGGCCCATTGAAGAATGACTCCCTTCAACGCCCGCCTCTACACAACCGCCCAATTACCTAGTACCCTCCCTCGACACGCTACTTGCTCGTTCCAATTTCGGCATATCCGAGATGACTGAACACTAGAATCCAGCGTCCACGACTTCCGCCTATCCTCCTTGATGAACATCTTAACACGCCACTCTACCAATGCCACCCCTCAAGCATTCCCTTAAACATTGCTCAGCGAGGCACGTAGAGCGCAAGAAGGAGAAAAACCTCGATCTTAGAATAAATGAGACTTGCGAGTGATAATCCATGACTGCAATGTTCGCCAATCGCAGTGTGTGCTGTACAATGGTTTTTTTAAGCCGTTTCGTGCGAAAGGGATGCAAGGGGCGGTTTCAGGTATGCGCAGTCGTGAGGGTAGTTGTTTTTAATGTCATTTTCGTGCCTTGAACAGCCCCCTCTTTTTGAATTGGAGATATAATGCTGTAAGACTGTGGGGTGATCACGAGCGCTGGAGAAGGGATTCCAAACAGGATGGTCGATTACACCCCTCCCCCCCAACAGAAATCCGATATCCGCCCTTGCTCCAGTTTCCATCCAACGTTCCTGATGTTCAAGTATGTATCATATTATACCGCTTTCACCCTCTTTTTCCGGAAGAAGTCCTCGCGCATCAACGTGCCCGGCGATTGATTTATGTATTTCCTTTTTTTTTTTTTTTTCTAGGAAGGGTTACGGTTAAACCCTACCGCCCACCCGGGGTTCATCCATGCTTAGCGAGGGCATGATAGGACAACCTGGGGGGTTGTTTCCAAGCAGCCGTTGTATATCATATATATCATATCCTACTGGCCCACTAACGGATTTTCCAAACATTTCCCCAGACCCGTACACCCACCGAGGTACAATTTCTATTATATATCGTATCATACCAATATGATATATTCATACAGGGGATCGACCGTAATGCATACCCACCTCAAACAAGGGAAGATAGCAGAATGCACTCTCGGATTGGCGGAGTGACACCCCCCCCCCTCCCCATAGTTCATAAAACCTCCCATTATAACATGCCATCCCGGACACAACTGCGTGTCCTGCCGCGTGTTATGCGTACTTCAACACAGCCCAGTATAATACTGTAGGCGCACAAGAAACAATCAAGCACGGAAGAAGGCCGGTGGTGGTGGGAGAGGCGGTGGGTAGGTAATAACGGGTATATATATAGCCCTGTCCTGGATTATGATACCGGCTCGGTATTGCACTAAGGGGTTCGGTCAGAGTTAGGTATCATATCTCTGCTATGATGTGATAGACTGCGCCGCAATGATATCGGAGGGCCTATTACATACGGGATATGCTTGTATACAATGCTATATAAAAGTTTTGGTCCCTGGCCGGGTTGTCGATCTGTGTGGTTCATAGAAGTGCGGGATTGCTTATCGGGAAAAGAGGGGTTGTGTAGAGACGGTATAGCCCCTCCCTTCCCCCCCTTCCCCCTTCCCCCTCCCCCACCACCATGTGTTTATACCCTATTGCGCAGTATGGGGTTGGATTGGAAGGGTTGTTGGGGATCATCCAATATCAGCAATATAGCAAGCAGTCCACTTAGAGTTCTTGATTTCATAAAGCGACGGTTTCATGTCGTACCCAAAGCTGGAGAATTGCATCTGGCTTACCGGGCCGTCTTTTTGAACCGGTGGACGGACGGCTCGCTGGGTCAAGCCGCGTCACCGCCTCACGACTACTACCCCCCCCTCAAGGATCGATCATGAAGCTTCGCTCGTCTACCACCAGTTTGACTGATATCCCGTATCGAAGGCCTACACGAGAACAATCCTCCTTCGTGCCTAATTCACCCACACGGTTATGGATGGATGGATGGATGGATGCGGAAGCACGAACTGTTACTCTGGGAGTACGTATCACAGCACAGTACAGCACAGTCTACAGTCTCACCGCCAGCTATCGTTCGGAGGTAATCGCAGTTCCCCATTGACTTGTGTAGCCCCCTCCATCCCCCATCACTCCAGCTAGATATCAGCAAAGTGACCCTGCTACCGGTATAATATCACCCTCCCACCTTGTATCACGACCATAGCATCTTCCTTTTCCACTCCCCAAGCAAATAAATCTGGGTAAACGAAGAACTAGCCATGATAGATACCAACAACCCAATACATATCTGCCAACGACCATCCCGTCGCTTTTTTTCTCTACAGCACTATACTAGTACAGTACACCCAGAGACAACCAACAATTAGTAAACCCACCCCGCACAACAATCCCCTGCCTACCATTGCGCCCAAGCACTAGTAGGTATAATATCCCTACCCGCAGCGATCACGGGAGTCCCGGGAACCTGCAGACACCACACCAGTTTGCGTACCGTATATACACACATATATATATATATAGAAATATCGAGTGGCTGTGTTACTTACTTACTTACTTACTGCAGGGAGAGATGGAGGCGCAGTATCTATCGTTATTACCGGTAGTAACTACATCAGTAACACCCACTCCCATCAATGTGAGTGGGGAGAGAGAGATAAGCTAGGATCATCAGAGAACTCCATGGTTACCGTACCGTAAGGCGTAGTACGGTACGGTAGCCATACTTTTTTTTTTCTTTTCTTTCTTTCTCGAAAAGGGGATGATTTCTTGGTCTTGTGATGTGGGTGATGATGGGATCTTTGGTACACACATGCACCGCACACGTACACTGTTTCTTTCCTTCCGTCTTGGGGATATTTGGTTACGGGGGTGATGAAGAAGGGGAGGAATTGATAATTCCAATCATCGTCGTCATTGTAGGCGGTAATACTATTATATATCACGCTCATCGCTAGATTGGCATATACGTCGGCATCTTGATTAGAGCTTCATTCCTGTACCATAGTGTTACAAAAAATCGAGATGGTTCTTAAGCGTCGTCAGGCGGAAGGGGTCCTATCCTATATATCAGGCTAGATATATATATATATAACCAGCCCTAAGCCTCCACGAGATGATCAATCTTGGACCTGGTAGTGGTGAGGATGGTATCAATCATAACTAAATACCTCCCCAAGCCCCTAAAACAAGATGTCGAAACAGATCTAAGCCCTGCTCGGCGAACTTTTATAATATGGAATTGCCTTCCCCGACAGAAATGTAAAAGTAAAAGAGGAGGCGTGTTTACTACTCAGGTTCAAAATAGAATTATTATCTTTATTCTTTGCAGTTCTATCACTTGATGGTAATTCAATTGGAATGATGGAGTTGTCGGAGGGAGCGGTCGATGGGTATGGTGATTGAAGTCAGTACTTAGTCTAATCTTACGATAATATTATGATACATATTTTAGCACTAACATAACATCATGTGATTTTTTCGAGCCCTGAAATGGCAATAGGACTTTACTTGACAGACATCAACATTTCTGCAAAAAAAAGAAAAGTTGCATTCCTTCTTCCTCTCCTCTCCTTCTTCACGTGGTGGCGGGGTAAAGCAGGACTTTTACCTTCCACCGGACCGAGATTGACCATGGTCTTTCATAGAGTCTAAGAGCCGCGTGCAGGCTCTATCACACTCATCACCGATTCCCCTCTGCACAACAAAACCACTCGAGAGAAGACCAATCCCAAAGAATTTTTTTCCCCCTCTCGTCAATCACCGGAAAGACAGCTTCAGAAACCACTCCCGATAGCGGAATGTGTGCGTCACGCCTCGTGTGTTGGTACCTGCTGTGATTCCTATGCACTTGTATGAGTAAGTGATTCTCCTACACACTGAGGGATATATACGCAAAGTCACGGGGCAACGGCGGAATCCGGCATCCTGTGGCACGGATGTTGGGGGGAGGTATCAGGTAGTTTTTTTTTTTTTTTTTTTTTTTTCCATTCCTTTCCGCGGACTGCCGGTGTGGGCGTTGGACTTTGACCGGCTCGGTATGGATGGAGGGACGGGTTTGTTGAAATGGTGACTTTGGTGATTATTGCGTCTGGTTGGATCAACTGGCCAGCCGTGTGAAGCGCACGGCGCGGGGGGGGGGTAGTGTAGTCACTGTAGAGTAGTGTAGTGTAGTGTAAAAGTCTATCACTTCACTACTACCTGTGATCAAGGATGGGCATTCGAGTGAGGGGATATGACTACCGTGTCCGTGACACGATACGTACACAAAGTTAAGACTAGCAGTTTCGAGGAGGGAGGGGGGGTTACAGGAGAAAAGATGACTCAAGTTCAGTATATATATATCATACAGTATACTGGTAAACCCTCTTAACTCTAGTTATCTCAACAAGCCACTCTTAATACAGAAAGAAGTAGAACGGTCGTCGCGGTGACTTCGGGATGATATGCGGTGTGGATGATTGCATTCATAGCAGTTATGTTAGTCTCTTCTAATCATAAATGACCAGTATATAGCAAGGTGATCTGGAGTTTGTCCTCCTCCTCCATTCTCTCCACTACGGTAATCGCCTTCGTCAACGTTACATGTCAAGGCAATTCGTGATACCCGAGATTATCCTTCCATTGCATTTTCCAAGAACTGTGCTTGCGCAGCGCTCGAGTGTAATATCATACATGTATGTATCAT